AAATCGATGAACAACGGGAGTACAGTGGTACATTCTCAGGCAACAACCTAAGCTTCCGTTTCCTTATCTGTTAAAGAGGGCAAATACTATCTTTGTCATACAGGTTCTCAGAGGCCATCAAGGGATCAAATATGTAAGTTAGGTCAGACAGACAGTGAGGCAATTAAGGCACTTGTGATGTGAGGAGTGATCCCTGAGCACAGAACCAGGAGTAAGCACTGAACACCTTTATGTGTGGCCCAAACTCTGTACCTCCACCATCCATTTCTAACAATTTAGTACCTCAACTGGTAAAGAAAGTGCTAGGCAACATAACTTATCACTAATACTAAAAAAACAAACAAAAAAACCACACACTTTTAGCATGCTTTTTCTTTTCTATTTTATATGTACACTTGTGACTATGCAGAATTTGATAATTTAATGGAACATTCATGTATACTTTGAATCCAGGGATATAGTACAAGTGCAGAGCATGTGCCTAAAAGGCCATTCAGGTTCAATCCCTGGCACTCCCACCTCTCTCAGGCACCCCCAGTACATCTGAGCTGGATGCCATCTACCACCCATGTGGTCCCCTGAGCATTGTGGATCTGCTACAGAACCTGAGCACACAGGTGTGGCTCCTCAGGGTGGGTGGGTGGGGGGGTAACCTATAGCAACTAGACTCTCATTTGGCTGTTTGTGTGTTCTTTTTCTGTATTTCATTCCTCAAAGAACTTTGGTGATACCTAAAATTGAGAGAAAATTACTTTAAATGAGTGAATTAAGACTATCTATCTTAAAGAATCTTCAGTCCCTAGTGGGCCTGAAATTTTATTCTTGGCATCAGAGCTGCTTTTCTAAGTAGGACTAGGAAAATATGTCACTCCAGTTTTTAGAAAGGTTTCCAAGTATATAGAAAAGGTATTTGTTAATGTAGAGTATAAGCTCCCTGTGAGGACAGAGAGACGTTGAAGAACTTGAACAGCCAGATGAGGCCAAAGTATTTTTTTTTTTTTTAGGAATACATATTTGGGGAGTTGGAGCTACAGTACAAAGGGCAGGGCGGTTGCCTTCCACACAGTGAGTCCAGATTTGATTCCTGGCATCCCATATGGTGCGCCAAACACCGCCAGGAGTAATTCCTAAGTGCACAGCATGAGTAACTCCTGTCCATCTCCAGGTATGGCTCCCAAAACAAAACAAACAAAAAAATATATACTTGATTTTACAGAAGAGCTTCTGAACCTGCTAGGAGACTGAAAGCAAATTCACCATTGGTTGGTACTATCTTGGCACCTACAGGCTGAGCCCCTTCCCCTCCATGCCCCCCATCAGTTTGGCTGACTACCTTCCCATTCAGGTTTCTCAGTCTACCAAATGTCCCACCTCCTCCCTATGATATTTTAAGTGAAAAGTATTAGAAATATACTTGTGTGCTGAGCCGACTAACCTTTAACTTTTGGTGAGAATTTTGCTGGAACATTTTTTACACAGTTTAAAAAAATTACAAATATGCTAATTTCCAAAAAAGACCTTGTGCTTCCTCCATCTTTGAACTTAGGAAACCTCTCATTCTCACTCTGAGCCCTTTTTAATGACTGTCAAAAGCCCTTCACTCACCTGTTCTAGTTTATCCACAATGCCACTTTGTACTTCTCCTGTGGCCCTGAGGTACATGCGTGGTTGAAATCTTACTACATCGCAACCACAAGAGGGGCAGGAATAAATGTTTCAACCTTACATATTTTCTCAGCTTTTTAGAAAGGCTCAGCAATTAGTGAAATTAGCCAAAAAAAGTGAACAACATAGAACTTATTGATAGTGATTTTTTGCTGTTTTTGCAGTACCAGGATGGAGACCCTGCCTTAAACATAAATCAAGTGTTCTACCCGTTAGTCACATCTAAAAGTCATTTTTAAAGTTAACCTTTAGAAAGCTGAGAAACACAGGAATTTCTTAAAATTCCAGTATTCTTCTATTCAGATCAATATTCCCTTATACTCTTACCATCTTACCTAGCTTTGTTTCCTGAGTCTGGCATTATTTGCCGCGGTTCTCTGTTTCCGCGGTGCAGACACTAATCGAAAGCCTAACAATTGTCGATTGGGCAGAAAGTACTTTTATTTGCCTGTTTTTCTGGTTATTTGTGCTGGAAAAGTGGATGAAGAACCATCGCAAAATTCAAAAATATTACTTCCAAGAGAAGTTTCAATAGAGTGCTCGAATTCCACCAACAAGCCTTTGCTGGCTGGCAAACCAATACCCGGAGTTTTTAAGATTTTCAATGCTCTTTTGGCCGACCCAGTCTGTGTCGTGTACAAGATTTAAACGCGGACCCGCGATTTCCGCAGGATGACGAATTCAGGAGGGTTAACCTAGCCTAAGTAAAACAACCTTCATTTGGAATCAAACACAATTATAATGACAGAACCAAGCCCCAGGCGGGAGGGTCCAACTTGACTTTGCAGAAAAAGTATTAGCGATGGACTTAGAAGCAAAAACGTGCTAGCTTTAGGGAAAACACACGCCCCCAACAGAGCGATCACCCAGACATTCACGGGTATTTAAGAAGAAGAGGAAGTAAGTACGCAACCCAGAGAAGCAGTAATAACGAAAGAAATGGGACATAGCAACTACATGCGCAGGTGGACTGAAACTCCCGGCCTTATAACCCCACGCAGGCACACGTGCGCTACTCGCCCTTCTCGCGCCCCGTAGAACGAGGTCTGCGGGCCTCTGCAGGCCACGCCTACGGAGGGCAGGGCCATTTGTGGCAGTCCGTGCTAGTGCCTGCTGCGCGTTCCGCACAACCCACGCAGTCTCCAGGCCGCCTCCATACGGAAACAGAAATTGTGAACCCGGCATTGCCGAAGCCACCCCTGCCCCGGGAGGGAGTGCGCATGCGCCCTGGGGCCTCGGGCTGCCTTAAATACCGGCATGCGGGCTTCGGAGGCCTCTTTCCCTGCCGCCGCGGAAGTACGCGGAGGCGGAGGCTCGGGGTGAGTGAAGCCGGAGCGGGTGGTGGTTCGTCCATGGTTTCTTGTTCGGTGTTTTCTTCTTCGGAATCGAGCGTGGTTCTCTCTGTTTTCGGTAGAGCTGGAGCTATTAACCGAGTGCCCCGTATCTTTCTTGCAGTGTGTTCAAGATTCGGCTCCACCCGTAATCCACCGCCATGGCCGAGGAAGGGTGAGCTCCGGGGACGGGACGCCCGTGCTTTGGGGAGGCCGGAGTTGGGGGGAGGGGAAGCTCCGGGTCCTCGAGCGCGCCCGTCCTGCCCCGGGGACTTCCTCACGGGCTCTTGGTCGGTGTGTCGCTAGCATTGCTGCTGGAGGTGTAATGGACGTGAACACTGCGCTGCAAGAGGTGCTGAAGACCGCCCTCATCCACGATGGCCTCGCACGTGGCATCCGCGAAGCCGCCAAAGCCCTAGACAAGTACGTGTATGAGTCTCAATACTGTGGGTTGTTGGAACCCGAGCAAAACTGCCGCCAAGGGACCCAAGCGTGAAGTTTTCAATGGTGGTGGTAGCACAAAAGTTCTGAATGACATCCGCCCTGCAGGCAACGTAGTAAAAAAGGTACCAGACCTTGGATCTTACCTAGTAGCCCCCCCCTCCCCGCCGAGTTTTTGTGGGGTTCCGGTTGGAATGGGAAAGGCGCTCTTATTAAACCAGAAGTTGGACGACTACAGTGTTTGAATGATGACTTACATTGTTGTCGGATACCCCTTCACTCCTCTCATGAGTGAAACCTGTATAGTCTGACAAACCTGTAGGCTGTGGACCTAATTTTATATATAGGGAAAAGGTGAAAGTGACTAAATAGAACTAACTAAAGGGAATTTCAAGCTATTTATATAAAGCAACTGGAGTACTGGTTGCGTTGAAGTTGAGATGACTTGAAAATTACAGGTGCAGACAACTGGGTATCTGATGTAGCGATTCCGGTTTATTAGGAGTGGCAAGGATGCATATTATAGCTGAACGGAAGTGAAAACCAGAGAAACTGTCACTGATATAGCGTATATGCTGAAATTTTCTTTGGTATGGTATGAAGTAAACCCTGCTGTTACACCTGGTGGGTGCAACATGCCGTTAATAATCTAATAATTGGAAGTTTGTTGAATAGAATAGTCATGTGTTTACAGGATAGCATGATAATTTTTTGGATGCAAATTGGTGATTTTTTTTTTATCCAGACTTGTTTATTCTTAAATTACCGAAGATGATTTTGGATGCATGCCTTTGAAAACCTGTTCTATAACTCGATTGTGCTGCATGTTTACTGGTGGGCCCAGAGCAAAGTGAGCTATGGTGTGAACTGCAAGAGGTGAATCTAGAGCTGACCCGAGTTTGAATTTTGTATTTCAGGCGCCAAGCCCATCTTTGTGTGCTTGCATCCAACTGTGATGAGCCTATGTATGTCAAGTTGGTGGAGGCACTTTGTGCTGAACACCAGATCAACCTAATTAAGGTATGTTGCAAATCTGATATATTTGAGGATGATAAATTAGCTTAAGGTTGTGTTGAGTCTACATAGTGTTTTTGCCGATGGCAGATTTTAGCCTAAGCCCATTACTTGCTACAGGTGTGAAAAATTGTGCATTGGCTACTAAAACATGAAAAGTCAGGTTTTCAGGAGCAAGAACAATTTTTCTGTTTTTGTAAAGTATTGGTTGCTGTGCATGATGACAACTGGCTCCCTCTACTGAACCGCTTTGAGGAAAATGCCATGTCACCCAGTCTGACAACAGCTGCCTTCTGGGTTAAACTTCTGGGTTTATATTACTGTGTGCTAATACACTGACTTTTGTCTTCATGTATCTCCTCCCCATAGGTTGATGACAATAAGAAGCTAGGAGAATGGGTTGGCCTCTGTAAAATCGACAGAGAAGGGAAACCCCGAAAAGTGGTTGGCTGCAGTTGTGTTGTGGTTAAGGTAAGTAATAATTCCCTGGATTAAGGTTGTTCTGGGTTAGCAAATCAAAACTCCAAACTGGGGAAAAGTTGGGTTGACAAGCCAGTAAATAAATCTGCTTACTTGACTGTGTTGGCAGAAATTCAGAAATAGCTGGCAATACTAAAGCCATGTTACGAGCCTTAACGGCATTGAGGTTGTTAAGGTCCCTGAAAGTGGCTACAGAAATTGATAAAGATTCACATCAATTATTTTGATAGTGATGTTTATAACATGGTATTTTGTAGAACATTAGTTTTAATAACATTTTAAGCAATTTGGAGTTTCCAAGTACAGTAAGCAATCTTTTTTTTTTTTAAGGACTATGGCAAAGAATCACAGGCCAAGGATGTCATCGAGGAGTACTTCAAATGCAAGAAATAAAAAATTTTTTGGCTGTTTCTCATGTGTTGGTTTATTTGGGGCAGTAAGATCCATTTTCATAGTTGACAAAGTCACTGACAAAGTCAGGTGATAACATGAGATCTGTTTCTGGTTTACAAAACCAGAAACTCCTTAAAAAACTTAAACTGAGTTAACAGTGGATAGTCTTGAATTGTCCTGGTACCACACAAAAGAATGAAATCAAGTCTGGATCATGTTCGAGTATTTCGGGCCAGGAAGGTTTAGTCAAGATAGTTTCAATTGATACTTAAGCCTGTGAGATGATGGGGCACCTACTGATGCAATTTGAGTTCTTAAGTTGTTAAATAGCTTTGACATGTAAACTACAATTTGCCTTTTAAATGCTTATGGCAATTTGATGACTAAAGACTCAATATCAAAGTAAGCTCTAGAGTCATAGTTTTAATACTTTAATTACTTAAAAATACAGAGTAATTTTATAGGCCTCCATGTTTTTTATGAGACTTGGTACAAATTTTCTTTTTGATTTTTTTTTTTTTAATTGAATCACTAATAGAGATAGACCCCTTCCAAAGCTTTCTTGATCAGGTTTCAGTCACGACATTAGGTACAGATTTTAATCTTAAGAAATAACCTAGATAAACTTTGATATCAGTGTTAGACAGGCATCTGTTCACTGATGTGGGTGCTTCACATTGTTTTGTAAATTAAATCAGCTTTACTTGAGGTATTTACTATAGGTACTCTTTAAGTGCAAGTCCAGGTACAGCTGTCACTCTTAAGGCATGCTAAGCCATAGTTTAGCTTTCAATATTGAGTAATAATGTTTAGTATTGAGTAATATTAAGTAGTTGGCCTTAATGTAATGGTCAGATCTAGTCGGCTGAGTCCTTTTACTATAGACACCTTTTAGCCATTTATAAAAACAGCTTTAATGTGATGGGTGGCATTTGTCAATACTCTGCCTAATTCTATCGATAGCCTATTTGTATCCATATTCAGAATTGTATTGCCTTCCTTACATGTTTATTCGCTTCTGTCTCAGGCTTTGTTTCTTGACGTTTATCTGTTAGGAATCTAGCACCCACTGGACATGAAAATGGATAAACCTCAAGATTACTGATGGAAATAAGCTTTCATTTGGTGCAATTAAAATGTGGACTTTTGAGTCATAACTGATGCTGCACTGCACTCAGGAATTACTGCTGCACTCAGGAATTACTCCTGGCAGTGCTCAGGAGACCATATGGGATGCTGGGAATAAACCTAGGTTGAATGGAATGTGGAAGACAAAGGCCCTAACTGCTGTGTGATGGTACCAGCCCCCAAGGTGGACTTTTTAATTTTACCTAACCAGAGCCTTGCACACCTTTGGCCATACTTGACATTCTAAAAAATTGTACCAGTGCCATAGCTCTTCCCTGCTAAATTGTCTATCCTTTCACCCATGCATCTGCTTAAAAGTAATGTAACAGCTTATTTAAGGGTATGTCTATACCATGATTATAAGAGTATTGTACTATATGAACTTTTTTTTTGTGGGTGGTGTTACTGTCAGGGGTGCTCAGAACTTGGTACACAGCATGAAAGGCAAGTGCCTTACTCTTGGTACCGTACCTCTCATGTGAACTCAACTTCCTACTTGAATTAGAAAGTGTACTAAATACAAATGCAAAGAAATAAAACCAGGATGGCCATAGAAAAAGACTTTGAGGGTGTGTTCTAATGTTGAGTAATGTGTAAGTAAGTAAAGGCCCTCCCGTTGATCATTGATTTGCTCGAGTGGGCCCAGTAACGTCTCCATTGGAGACTTTGTTGTTACTGTGTCTGGCATATCAAATACTCTTGGTAACTTGACGGGCTCTCCGAGAGGGGCGGAGGAATCGAACTCTGGTCGGCCATGTTGGCTGCGTGCAAGGCAAACGCCCTACCTGCTGTGCTACTGCTCCAGCCCTAATACACTCCAGAGTAAAGTGTATTAGTAGTTAAATGCAGGGCTTCATTTTGTTACCTGCTGACTCAAAGGAGTATCAGGACAAGAAAGCTTTAACTGCCTTTTGATCTTCCTGAAAGGAAGGAGACCCTTTAGCCAAGGTAGGGAAAAAAGCCACTCAGATAGGTACCCACCCAGGAAGAAACGAAAGTGAAGGAGGACATGATCTAGAGAAGCAGAGGCTATCAAAACTTTACTACTGTCAAGAAGCTCGTGGGTAATGTCTGATAAGGTGCTGGGAGCCTGAAGGACTGTTGTGGTCCAAGTGGAAGGACAGGATAATTAAGTAGTACTTGGATTCAATAGAGTTAATTTAAGTCAGGGGTGGTGGCATGCAGTGCAATCACTATGCAGCTCTCATTTTTCTTTCTGGAACCCTGACTTAGGCTTTTAATAGAGTAGAAGCACAAACACCTAAATTCAAAGTGCCCAACTGATGTTAGAACATGTTGAGATGCTTCAAGTAAGCTTTATGTTTTGAATTTTGGGGGTCTTGGTGTATGTGCTGGTGTTGAAATTTGGGCCCCATGTATATATAGCATGTGCTCAAACCCATTGAGCTGTCTTCCCTGTCTAATAAAAATCTGTATCTCTTTCGGGGGTTTGGTTTTGGGATCACATCCAACTGTTGAGAGCTTACTCCTGGCTCTGCACTAAAGGATCACTTCTGGTGGGCTCAGGATTTTATGGGGGCCTGGGAACCAACCAAACCTGGGTCAGCCACATGGGGCAATAGCATAATCTTTTCGACTAGAGTTTGGATGGCTAGCAGTGCCACATCTGTTTGAAGGACTTTCGAACTTAGTTGTTGCTTGTCAGGAGTGGCACACTCTATATGCTCGAGCACACATTTAATTACTGTGCACATGTGCAATTCTCTCTGGAGATAACATATTAAGTTTCGTGCACTGGATCTGGTGCATGAAGGGATCAGACTTGGCATGTGGATCAGTGAATTTGTGTCTGCAAGGCAGGCACTCTACCACTGAACTGTATCTGGGCCCTTCAGTTTTTTTTTTTTTTTTGATATTAGAACCCTACAGATAATAATTAGTCTTCATTATATAGTACCATGTCTTTTACTTGGAGAGGATTAAAAATGGGATAAGTTTGATCCTAAAACACCTTTACTGCATATCAAGGCAGTTTTCTTTTGGCCTGTTTGCTGGTCATTGCTATAATCTTATTCCTAAATTGATTTATACTGGGCCTTGAGTTTGGTAAGCAACTGTACCAGAAAATGGTAAGTGCTTGAAAGCATGAGTATGAACACTTTGGGAAGAAATGTGATGCTAGAGACTGGTGATGTTACTGTGGCCCGGCTGGCCCGGTAGGTCCTGAAAAGGTTGCCTTTTCCCCGCCTTCAGGCCACACCTAGTTATGCTCAGGAATCACTCCTGGTGGGGCACAGGGGACCATATGGGGTACCAGGGATTGAGCCCGCTCAACTGTGTGCAAAGCAAGCAATCTGCCCATTATACGATCTCGCCAACTTGAAAATCTCTTTTTTGTAACAGGAGAGAAGTGATTAAAGTACAGTTAAAGATGAATATTTTTGGTTTTGAGGACATGTTTATTTGACTTAATTACAAGTGAAAAACTTCATTATAAATGAAATACACAAACCCATTGGAAATATGTTTAGCAAGTGGAAGACAGTATTTGATATATTTGCATACATATGATTATTAAAATGGTCAGTGTGAAAGGATATTAATGCGAATTTTTTTCAAAGTATTGAAGATGTTCATCAATTTGCTCGAGCGGGCCCAGTAACGTCTCCATCGTGAGACTTGTTGTTACTGTGTTTGGCATATTGAATACGTCACAGGTAGCTTGCCAGGCTCTGCCGTGTGGACGAGATACTCTCGGTAGCTTGCTGGGCTCTCCGAGAGGGGCGGAGGAATCGAACTCGGGTCGGCCATGTTGGCTGTGTGCAAGGCAAACGCCCTACCGCTGTGCTGTCGCTCCAGAAGATGAACTAAGAATCACATTTTGCTTAAAAAAGTAATGGGAGAAAACAGCTGGGATAGAGAAAGCACACTATGACAATGGTAGTTGAAATGATCAATTTGGATAAGAACTGAGTCCTGAAAGTAGGTAAAAGAAAAAATATGATAACCTTTTAGTACTTGTACTGCAAAACATAATGCCCAGCTGGTGGAGGATGGGTGTTGGAATATTATATGACTGAACCCCAATCATGAACTACTTTGTAACTATTTCATGATGGTCCAATAAAAAAGTAAATAATGGGATATAAGTGCATGTGAGTAGAGAAAAAAATTGGAAGGATATATATCAACGTTTTAACGGTTATTTCTGGGGAGATTTTATTTTAACTTCCTTTTTCTTTTATCATGTACTTTTTTTGTAAGAAAGTTTGTGAAAAAAAGTAATTAGTATTTTATTGGAATTAACATTAAGTACCATTAATAAAAATTTAAGGAAATTATGAGACCAAGTTAATTTACCGTCTAGTTAAATTATACTTGTGTAAAAATAAGTGGCTTAAAAAGACTGAATTCAATGGGCTGGAGTGATAGTAGAGTGGATAGAGTATTTGCCTTGCACATTGCCAAACCCAGTTTTTGTCTAGGACACCCCATAAGTTTCCCGGAGTCTGCCAGTAGTGATCCCAGAACGCAGAGCCTGGAGTAAGCCTGGAGTCCAGTTAGGCCCCAAAAGCAAACAAAAACAGCCCAAATTCAGACATGGCCAGCAGAGGGCAGTAAGAAGCTGATAATAGTAAGAGAGACATTAATGGAAAACTTAACACTAACGGGAAGCTCTGGGTTGCAGTGGCACAAATCTCTTCCCCTTTGGCAA